TTAGAAGTAAAAGGAAGGAATATAAAGTTGGTTTATTTGATCAAGGTTAAAATAGATATGTTGTTATTTCTGGTAACCTTTAATGGTCTTACTGACACCAGGACTGAAATGACAATACTTTATGGATTTGTTTACAGATAAAGAGATGGGATATGGGAAGAAGAGATCATTTGTTATATTCTAAGGGGAGGTGATAAAGTTATTAAAATTGTTTATACTTGTGATGAAGGTGGGAAGTCACTTCTTTATATATTTCTTTTCTTTTTCTTTATTATATTTTTTTCTTTCTTATTTTTCTATTTCTTTCTTTCTTTTCTGTACCCTCTACTCTTTCTTTTTATTCTTCTGTTTTTTTAGGTTGTATTAGTTGTTACTATTGTAATTATAATCTTTAATAAAGTTACTATAAAAAACAAAATAGTTTTACTATATTAGACAGGATCTTATTTTTGTCATAAGGTTTTTTCCTAAATTTTGAACAAATTCTATGAATTTGTGAAAAATTGTTCATATTTTTCTTTTCTAAAATTTTGCCTTTAATATACACAAAACCATATGCACAATCACAATCAATTGTACCTTTTCATCTTGCACTAATTCCTGAAGGATGATTTTTCTTTCCATGCACACCTCCAACAATTCTTCCGAATGAAAATATTCATGCAGGGAAGGAAAAAATGTCAACTGATCATGATCTGTTCCTCCTTCTCTATTTAGCACTGGTTCACCTGCATTAAAATAAAAAAACAGCAATAGTGCAGCACATTAATAGCAAAAGATTTTCACAGCACAGGAGAACAAGAAGAACCTTATATTAGGCACCCATCTTTAACTGAAGAACATAATCTGTAGGTTCCCTACCACAGCTGAACTGAACCACAACTGAAGGAAATTACCAGCTACAGTGTATAGAAACACTAGAAATACTTTATTATAGAAATTATATCCCTCATTTTCACTGTTAAATGCTTTCCTGACTAATGCATTGCTATTCTAGTCTAATAATATTTTATAATACTTCAAGCGTTGAACTACTGAATTGATTCTTAATCAAATTGCTTGGTGTTCCAGGACCCCTAAGATTGGAGATCCCTGTTTATTTTCTCCATCATCAGGGCCAGAGTACATAAAAGGACAGACAGAGAGTTGTATAACATTTATCTTACAAAGATGTGGTCAGAGAGCTCAGGAGTGGAATTTTCTACCTGGTTTTATTTCTGCAGGGACTCCAGTGGCTAGAATAACAGGGGTGGAGCCATATTACTTTTCTAAAGGGTTGTCTAGACATAGCTCCTCTTGTCAACCATATGTATGTATGTACATCTATGTGTATGCATGAACAAGCACACACATACATAAAACATGTACCACATATACTATAAATGGAAATGAAGAAATTTTAATTCCCTTTTGAACTTTGCCAACTTTCCATTTTTACCAGCAATGTGCTTCCCTAATTGGACAACCTTTCTTCTGCTGGAGACATGGAAGAAGTGGCCTGTTGGAGGGGTGAGTGTGGCAATGAGGAGAATTTAAATAAGCAACAAGTATCACCAGAAGTGGGTAGGGTCACCCATTCCCTCTATGTCTGATATTACTGTTTTTCTACCTGTCTCCATCCCAAAAGCATGCAGGGAATGATAATTTTTGCCAGGGGTCCGAGGAGGTGGGTTGCAAAAGGCTCTTGCAATTAAGCCAAGTACTACAGGTTGCCTCCTCCTGGTCCAACTCTTGGTATTTCCTAAGCTGTCTTACCATATTGATAAACACTGCTTCCTCTCTCTAACTCTCTTTGCCTCTTTAACACAAGATACTAGAATTAACATACAGGTCAAAATGCTTTGTGAAAGATACATAACCAAATTATTTTTGGTTCAATAAACAGAATGATCCTTTCTCTGTGCTTACCAATTTTCTCATAAATTAGTAAGTAAACTAGTAAACTACACATTAGTTTACACACAGAAATAAACCCTGTTAATCTGTTTGAACATTAATACTTGCCTGCACTCATCCTTCCTCACTGGTTAAGCATTCAAGCATGCATGTTGAGATTATTCTATTCCTCATCATATGAATGAAAATTTCAAATTATTTTCCTCAATTCATAATTTAGAAATAGTTCAACAATGCCTAAATTTCAATAACAAGCAGTAGTGAAATATGCTTGTGGATACTGCACACCCCAATTAAAAAATCATTTAGACTTACTCCTAGCTGAAACATGAATATATATATATATGTGTATGTATGTATGTATGTGTGTATATCCCCTTCATGGATCACTGCCTTGTCGTGGCGAAGGGGCTTGCGTAACTCAGTGA